GGGGGAGGAGAGGGTAGCAGGGGTTGGGCAGACTGGGAAGGACAGACTGCAGGGCGCAGTCCTCAGGACAGTGGCCTGCGGACCAACCTAGAGTGAAGCTGGCACCCGGAGAATTTGGAAGGGGGGCTGGGGAGCGCGGAGACAGCAGGGAGGGGAGGTGAGAGGGGACAGTGGGTCTCTGAATAGGGTGAAGTGGGCATGGCGCCTGATAGGAGGGACTGGGAAAGGCGGGACCACAGTGGATGGGCAGGGACCGGAGAAGGGGGCCTGGGGCCCCGGGGCGGCGGCATTTAGACCGATGGCCCAGGTGTTGAGGGAACTCAGGAAGAGGGCATCCAGCTGGTGTTGAGCCGGCCCTCCCCCAGCAGGAGTCGGCGCTGAAGGCCCTGGGGACAGAGGGCCTCTTCCTCTTCTCCTCCTTGGACACTGACGGGGATTTGTGCCTCAGCCCTGAGGAGTTCAGGCCCATCGCGGAGAAGCTGACAGGTACCAGGAGAAGCTGGGGACTGGGGAGGAGGGAGCCCAGGCACCTCCCTCTGCTGCTTGCCTGCTGCTGTGTCTGCTGTGAGCAGGCGGGCGCCTGGAATAGAGGGAGGGTTGTGGGTCCTGGCAGCCCTGGGGGCCTCCTGGCTCTGATACTTTCTAGCTGCTGGTTGGAGCAAGCTGCTTTGCGTGTGCACACACAGCACACACACACACATACACACACATACACACACACTCCAGTCTGTACTCCTCACATGTGAATTGTACTGGTTAACATTCCCTGACCGCTTCCTCAGGGCCAGACAGACATCACTGAAGCACTTCATGGGAGTTATCTCATAGGATGCCCTATGAGATCCCCATGTTTATAGTTTGGGAGACTGAGACATAGGAAGGGTCACCGATTTGCCTGAGCTAGAAAGGGCAGAGCCAGGATCATCTGGCTCCAGGTCCTGCCCCAGGATTAGTGTATCTGCAAAGTGACTGATAAGCAGTAGATAGTCAGTAGGGTCTATTCCAAATATTTTACTAAACATTAAACTCTCTTAGGTGCTGTCAGATTCCTGTCCCATTCTCTCTACCCATTTTCGCCTCACTGTAATCAGTGGGTTTTTGGGGGGTTTTTTGTAAAGATGAAGGCCTGAAACATCTGATGAATTATAAAATACTTCTCTCACCCCCTCACCACCACTCCAACCTCTGTGTCCATTTCTTGTGACATTTCTTGAACTTAGGATCTTGGGCATCTACTTCTTACCCAAATTGCCCATTGTAAGTAGGTCAATTGATGGGAAAGGCAAGAAGAGAAGCGAGCTGCTCTCCGGCAAGTAAGCACCAAAGCCCAGTGATGAGCTTCCTGGGTCTCAGGATGGGTCGGGTAGGTCCATCACTTGCTGGCCCCGTGACCTGTGGTCACTGCCAGAGGAGGAGAGTCAGATAAAAAATGCTAATTTGCCGGAGCAGACATGGGTCAGTGTCTCGGTGGCAGTCAGGTCTGTGGTGAAAGCAGACAGGCAGGTAAACAGGTCAGCCCTGTGTGGGCTCGCTTTGACCTCTTAATTTGGACACACTTCTCCAAGCACCCACAGAGCCATCTCCTCGTCAATTTTATGGCCAGTGAGCAAGAATTCCTCTGTAATGACATGTTGGCCAAGCCTGCTGGGCTTGGGGGCCTTTTTAATTTTTTTACATAAATTTTTTTCTCCGTTGGGAGAATAACCCCTCCCTCCCTTACCTCCGGAGCCACTGCGAGTGCAAAATTAGACCAACTTTGGGGAAAACAAAATAAAAAACAAAACAAAAACCACCAAATCTAAGCAACAAAAAGAGGTAAACAGTATTTTTAGCTGGTACAGTTCAGTGTTTAATTTTCTGCTTTATGCCTTAAAAGTTTTACAAACTGTTTATAGTGAGCAAATGTTACTTATATAAGTCAGGAAATAAAACTTTATTAAAAAACCAAAGGGCCATAAAATGCTGGACATTATTATTAATAATTATCTCTGACAACAGTAAAATAAATAAGCAAGCAGACTACTAACCCTGTACATCCTACTGTTCCCTTCCTCTGAGGTTTCCAGATGGTGGGTTTGGGGAAGATTTGCTGCATTAACTTACAAATGCAGATATAACAGTGATTCTTTCAGACTGGGATTTGCATCAGGAGCCCTGGGAGTGCTAATTAAAAGGGCAGTTTGCTGATTCTGGCCCCTTAGGATTCTGACTCCGTAGGGCTGAGATGGGTTCTGGGCATCCGTGGTTTAAAAGGCATCCTGAGGGATTCTGATGATCCTGGTTAAGAACTGCTTCAAATGTACCCATGCAGTCTGTCAGTCAGTCAGCAAATGCCCAGCACCATCTCTGTACCACGGGCCCTGGAGAGCAGATGTGACAAGATCCACCACTGCTTTATTCCATTCTGTGTCGTGGGGCCCTGCCCTTCTATTTGTCACCCCTTTTGAATTAGGTGTNCATTCTGTGTCGTGGGGCCCTGCCCTTCTATTTGTCACCCCTTTTGAATTAGGTGTCATTTCTCCCTTACGCCTTCATCATGACTCCCTCCACACTTGAAAGATTGCAGACTTGGCACATCTCTGAGCAGGAAGAGATCCGAGAAATCAGGGTCAACCACTGCCAGTCCAGCCCTCCTTATACAGATGGGGAAATTTGCCACCCAGCCCCGCCAGAGTACCTCAGGTGGTTGAGCATTGTCCTGGGCACTGAAAGGTTGCTGGTTCAATTTCCTGGTCAGGGCCCATACCTGGGTTGCGGGTTTGATCCCCAGTCAGGGAGCATACATGTCTCTCTCTTTCTCTCCCTTCCTCTTTCTCAGCATATCCTTTGATGAGGATTTTTTAAAAAAAGAAAGCTGCCACCCAGAAAATCAGGGAAAAGTGAGTCTCCTCCCTCCCAAACCAGTGCTTTTCTGTGACACCAAAGATGGCCTGATTCTGCTTCTTGCTTCATCCGTTGCTCTGGGTCCTGGGACTGAGAGCCTCTCCTTGCAGTGTTTGTTTCTTCATGAGATCCCACGACAGCATGGATAGTCCCCATTTCTCATGTAGGAAAACTAGAGAGGCTGAGCGATTTGCTCCAAATGGTCCAGGAAGTGGAGTCAACCTCAACTTGGAGCTGGGCTGGGCTTTCCTCTCCTAGCCCTGGAAAATAGTTTCTCTCTTTGGTGCTGGGGATCCCAGCCACTGGGAGAGGCAGCTGCCTGCCCACAAGCCACCTTTGATGGCCCAGCACCAAATTCATCAGGGACTCGGTTTGGAGAGCAGAGGGAAGGGCGGCAGTGAGAATGTCCTTCCTGCGGCCAGCCTCGCCTGGTGGAGAGAGCACAGGTTGAAGTCTGGAGACTAGGTTTGAACCCAGCTCCCCAGCTCCCTAGCTCCCTGACCCTGAAACCTCTGGTAATAGTGACACAGTTAAAGTTTACTATGGGTTTGCTCTCTACCAGACCTAGTGCTAACACTACGTGGATTATCTCACTTAATCCTCATAACAAGCCGCCGGCCAACCACCACACAGCTGGTGAGGTGTGGGGCTGGGATTTGAACCTAGGTCATCTGGTTCCTGAGCTTTTGAGGAAACGGAGGCTGTGAGATTTTAACTCCCCCAGAAGAGGGTCGTAGTTAACCATGAGTTTGTAATGAAATAGGCCTGGGTTTGAATTCTGACTCCCCCACTACCTAGCTGTGTGACCTTGGGGAAGTGACATCACCTCTCTGAGCCTCCAATTTTTCATTCCTAAAACGGGAGTCTGTAGTAATGTTATCTGCCTCACAGGACTACTCTGAGACTAAAATGTGATACATACTGGTTGTTACTTGGGCGATTGTTAACTGTTCCTCCGCCCCCAGCTCCAAGCCTGGCTCCCTTAGTCACTGGCCAGAGTGGATGCCTAAGGGCAGAGCCCCTCTCCAGTGATCTGTGTCTCATAGGGTCAACTCCTACGACCAGCTACGAGGAGGAGGAGCTGCCCCCGGACCCCAGCGAGGAGACACTCACCATAGAAGCCCGATTCCAGCCGCTGCTCCCAGAGTCCATGACCAAGAGCAAAGATGGGTTCCTAGGGGTGAGTTGGGGTAAGGCAGGGGGCTCCCCACAGGTAGGACCATAGACAGGAGGACCATCTGCGTGCACTCCCCGCCTGAGAATGGGGCTGTGTTTGTCTCGTCTTCTTCCTGTATCAGCTGCCCTCTGCGCAGCCAATGTTCCAGGCCTTGGGGTCCAAAAGCGGGTGCACTACCATCCCTGCTGTCCAGGAACACAGTCTGGGGGAGGCAGGAGGGATAGCATGAGCTTGGAACCCACGTGGGGGGTCTGGGATGGCTGCCTGGAGCAGTGACATCTGACAGCTTGCAGGGGGAGGAGGGCTTGGCCAGATGAAGCAGGGGAAGGAAGGGTGTGGTTGGAGGAAATAGCAAGTGCACTAGTGATGCAGTCGCCTCACTTCAAATTGTTACTTTCTACAAGTCGGTCGTCTCCCCGCAGCCTGTGTTCTCATTTGCCTGTGTTCTCATTTGTGCATCGCTGGGCCCCTAGCACAGTGCCCCGTACCTGACAGGGGTGCCCCACTCTGTGAGGTTCTGCCCCCAGCCGGGAACCGGGGGGTGGGAGGACGCCTGACAAAGTCTTGGTGCTCGGTGCCCCAGAGCTTCGGCTCTCTCTGCCCCAGGTCTCCCGCCTGGCCCTGTCTGGCCTCCGCAACTGGACGACCGCAGCCTTGCCAAGTGCACAGTTTGCCGCCCGCCACTTCCGGCCCTTCCTTCCCCCTCGGGGCCAGGCAGAGCTGGGTGAGCCCTGGTGGATCATCCCCAGTGAGCTGAGCGTCTTCACTGGCTATCTGTCCAACAACCGCTTCTACCCACCACCACCCAAGGGCAAGGAGGTAAGGGCAGCCCATGGGAGCCCCGGGCCCTGCGTCCCTCCCCTTCTTCACCTGAACCGCCATGCCAGGCCTACCCCACCTGCTGTCCACCTCCCTCTGGACCCACCTCCACCCTGAGCCCTAGGCCTGCAGGGCCCGGCAGCCAGCCTGGTCCCACTGCCCTTCCCCCAGGTCATCATCCACCGGCTCCTGAGCATGTTCCACCCACGGCCCTTTGTGAAGACCCGCTTTGCCCCTCAGGGGGCAGTCGCCTGCCTGACTGCCATCAGTGACTTCTACTACACTGTGATGTTCAGGTGGGTGGTCCTCCCAGCCCCATCCTTTCCTCCCACACGGGCCTGAGACTCCAGGGCAGCACAGAAGAGCACAGCAAGGGGAGAGCAGGCCTGGCTCAGAGCCCCCACTCCACCACTTAGCATCCTGCATTCTTGGGCTCTCTGAACCTCGGTTTCCTCATGTGAAGATCAAGGATGGTGACTTCCTTCTAGGAGGAAAAGGGCCAGAGCATCTTTAGCACAGGGCTGGTGGCTGTGATTGTCATCCATACAGAAGAGGGGTGTCTAGAGCTGTGACGGCAGGTCCCACACACTCTTGAGAGACTGAGAGAGCTCAGAGGAGGGCCAGACAAGGCTTCCGAAGGCAGCATGTGAATTGGGCCCTGAGGATGGGTGGTGCTTGGAGGCCTTGAACCTTCTCCCTGCCCCACACTCTCCTTACCCCCTGCCGAGCCCTGTCCCCCCCCCACATGGAGCCTGGTTCCCAGGCTTTGGGGCAGGTGTGAGAGGGTGGCTCCCACTCAGCGGGGCCTGCTCCCAGCTGGGCTCCTTCCCCCAGGATCCACGCCGAGTTCCAGCTCAGTGAGCCGCCCGACTTCCCTTTCTGGTTCTCACCCGGCCAGTTCACCGGCCACATCACCCTCTCCAAAGACGCCACCCACGTCCGCGACTTCCGGCTCTTCGTGCCCAACCACAGGTGGGAGCTTTGGCCCAAGTCCCTGGCTCCAGGGTTGGAATCGGGTGACTAGAGGTCCCCCTCAGTCTCTGTCCTTGGGAGAGGCCTGGGCACCCTCTTGGGAGGGACCAAGGGCTAACCCAGGAAGAGGCAGCTTGCAGCAGATTGAGGAGGGTCATTCCATCATTTGACAAGCATGTCCCAGGTGCTGCATGGGCTGAGCCCACCTACCAACTCTGTGCCTAGGACCCAGCGCAGCAGCAACAGACCCTCCTTGAAGCTGGAGCCTCTTCACCCTCATAACGCTGATCCATAACCACAGCCTGCTTATGCCACCCTAGCGGGAGGCCAGCAGGTGGGCAGGGACTTGACTGGTTGGAGTCTAGAAAGGCTTCTCAGCCCAGCTGGCATGGCTTGGTGGTTGAGAATTGACCTGTGATCCAGGAGATCATGATTCGACTCCCGGTCAGGGCACATGCCCGGGTTGCAGGCTCAATCCCCAGTAGGGGGCATGCAGGACGTAGCCGATCAATGACTCTCTCATCATTGGTGATCTCTCCCTCTCCTTCTCCCTCTCCCTTCCTCTTTCTGACATCAATAAAGACATATTTTTTTAAAAAACAGAAAGGCTTCTCAGAGAAAGGGACATCTAGGCAGAGACTTGGGAGCTGAGGAGGGTTTAGCCAGGTAGAGGAACAGCACATGCAGAGGCCTGAGAGCAGGCCCTCTGCTGCCTGTAGTTGCTACCACTGGGCCTTAGGGGCTTCTGGGATGGCTCTGTGCCAGCCACCTGCCTGCCTGCCTGACCAGCTTAGGGTCAACCTCTTGTTGGAGGATCAGAAGACCTGGAGACCCAGGTTTTGAGTCTTTCTTGACTCCTAAGTGGCCACTTAGTGACTGTACAGGGAGAAAACCTGGGGTGGGAGCAGGGAGGCCCAGAGTTAAGTCTCTCAGCTGTGACACCAGTGGACTGCATGTCTAGGGGCAAGGCCCTGGGCCTCAGTTTCCTCATTTTCTAGATAGGAGGCTGGCAGGGGTGAGGGGATGGTCGGGATGACCTGGGAAGAGAAAGTTGCCCCTAGGAACTGAGTGGCTTCCTCTCCTTTGACTCCTCCTTCCTCTGCTCAGTAGGCAAGCACCTGTGTTCCACGGGCTCAGCCCAGGTCACACCTGCCTCCACCCCAGGGCTGAAGGTGGGGGGTCCTGGACTGGATAAAACAGAAGGAGAGGGGTAAATGACCAGGACCAGGCCACAGGGACTCCTGACCCCCTCTGAGGGCACCCAGCTCACTCTGCCCATAGTGGTTGGTTGTCAGTCTTGGGGTGCCTCCATGTGGCAGATCTGCAGATGGCACCTGGTCAGGCCAGACTTCCTGCTGGAGGACTGTGCCAGATTGTCAGTCCGCTCCACTGTGTCTTGGGGGATGCACTGATTTCTGCCTAGAAGGGTCGAAGGCAATACAAAAGTCATGGGTGTGAAAGCCCTTTGTGAACATGAGGGTTGGGCCCCTGGAGGGGGTGTGGTTGCAGTGCCTTAGGAAGAGCAGCCGGGGAGAGGAAAGGGCCCAGGCTCTTCAGTCCGAGTCACAGCAGCACTGAGTTCTTGGGTTCAATTTGCCAAGCCTCAGTGTCCTCATCTGTAAAATGGGGACAGCTATGTGCTTTCAGCAAGATACTGTCTGACATATGTTCATGGGCCTTGCTGATGGTGCTCTGCCCTGGCCACTCTCTCCCCGTGTCCAGGTCTCTGAATGTGGACATGGAGTGGCTGTATGGGGCCGGTGAGAATAGCAATATGGAGGTGGACATTGGCTACATACCCCAGGTGAGCGCACAGGTGGTCCCTACCCAGCTAGGAAGGCGGGGCTCAGCTGCAAGGCTCTGTCACCAGGCCTCTCAGCCTGGCTGCAGGGAGGGCCCAGTTGGCGAGGGGCCTCAGGGCAATCCAGGGTCAAGGATGGAGCTCCTGGAAGACTGAGGCCAACTGTCCCAAAGTAGGATTCTGGGAAGCCACCTGAATGCACACAGAACCCAGCATCTGCCATGTCCCTCGGATAGCATCGCGCAGTGGAAGGAGCCCTGGCTGGACACTGGCCCTGACCTGGACTCACTGCATAGCCTTGACCAGGCCCTTCCCTTCCCTGTGCCTCAGTTTCCCCACCTCTGCAATGAGTGGGGTCCCTTTGAGGGTCTCTCGGGCCCCTTGAGGATTCTTGCCCATCTCTGAGATATCCCTGACTGAGGTCACCCCTTGCTGACCTCTGGCCTAGATGGAGTTGGAGGCCACAGGCCCCTCAGTACCCTCTGTGATCCTGGACGAGAATGGCAACATGATTGACAGCCGCCTGCCCTCAGGGGAACCCCTTCAGTTTGTGTTTGAGGAGATCAAGTGGCAGCAGGAGCTGAGCTGGGAGGAGGCCGCCCGGCGCCTAGAGGTGGCCATGTACCCCTTCAAGAAGGTGAGAGTGGGCAGGGATGAGGGCAGGGCACACAATTTATGGGGCTGGGGCTGGAGCTGTAGGAACAGCAGGTGGGCACAGGGCACTGGGCTGTGTGCAGTGCTTGCTACTTAGGCTTTCTCCCTGCAGGGCCCAGTGGTGCCAGGGGAGCCTCCCTTCACCATTTGGGACTTGGAGGAGGCATCCCCCATCTCAGCAACACCCCTTCACACGCACACACACACACACACACACACACACATTATACTACACACACACATAGGCATATAGATACAAGGTACACACTCAGCCCCTGAATGGGACCCTGGCTGCACACAGTAGCTCCTCTCTGTCTTGACTTGGCCCAGGTCACCTACCTGCCATTCATCGAGGCCTTCGACCAAGCGAAGGCCAAGAACAAGCTGGTGCACTCGATCCTGCTGTGGGGGGCCCTGGATGACCAGTCCTGCTGAGGTGAGGAGCCCGAGGGGAGTATGGAGGGGGAGTGTCATACCTCATGGGGTATAAAGGATCTAAGACCAATGGGCCTCTCCTTTTGGAGCATGAGGGACTTGGGGCCTATACAGGGTAGGGGCGGGGGGAGGGCTTTGGAGGTTTCTGTGCTGAGCTCAGAGGAGGCTGCTGGATACAGTAGAAAGAGCCCAACTAGCTGGTTTCAGCTTAGAAACCTTGGCCAAGCGACTTCTCCCTGAGCCTCAGTTTTCTCAACAGTAAAGGAGGAATAACATACCTCCCAGAGTTGTGAGAAATGGCGTGAAAGTGCCTGTGCTCTGCTAAGTGTGGCACACAGTGAGATAAAAAATAAAACTTCCAGAGGCTGGGCATGCATTTGCTTATCCAGAGAATTCACCAAAGACCTGCTGCGTGCCAGGTTCTTCAGCTGTCACACAGCGGGTACAAAGATGAGTAATGCGATGAGCCTGGCCTCGTCAGTCAGTCAGCAATCCTGGGTGCCCCTTGCCACGCCATCAGCTAGGTGCTGGGGGTCTTGCAATGAGGAAGGCAGAAGTGGTGCTTGTCCTTGGGGAGTGCACAGTGCAGGGCAGAAGGCAGACGGTGAGTGAGTAAGTACAAGCATGGTGAGTGTTACACAGGCAAGGTCCAGAGGGGCATGAGGGTGTGTAACTGAGGTGTTGGGAGACTTCTTAGAGAAAGTGACGTTTAAGATGAGACTTTGAAGGATGAGTAGGAGTTTGTCAAGTGACAGGAGGAAGAGTATTTTAGGTATAAGAACAGTCTGTGCAAAGGCCCTGGGACACAGAGTTTCGTGGATTTGAGACTACAGGTCCCTGGGTAGGGCTCCACCCTAAATCTCAGCCCAGGATGCCAGTATGTTGATGTGAATTACAGCTACCATTTATTCTGCACCTACAGACTCTTGACTCTGTTATTTCACCTGGGTGCACAGGCCATTCTGTAGTCCACAAGGCTTATTGCTGGTTGAGCCAGTAAGACATGTGGGGATGCCTCACTCTTCGGGCCTTGCCTCTCCCTGCACAGGTTCAGGGCGGACTCTCCGGGAGACGGTCCTGGAAAGTTCGCCCATCCTTGCCCTCCTCAACGAGAGCTTCATTAGCACCTGGTCCCTGGTGAAGGAGCTGGAGGACCTGCAGGTGAGTAGGGGGTGGCTGGGAACACCCCTTAGGAGCCCCTAGAACAGTACTGGGGGCTGAGGCATCAGGAGTGTGCCCGACTGTCCCCATAGAACAATCAGGAGAACCCATCCCACAAGAAGCTGGCCGACCTGCACCTGGAGAAGTACAGCTTCCCCGTGGAGATGATGATCTGTCTGCCCAATGGCACTGTGGTAGGTTACCTCCATTCCCTACACCCAGTCCAGGCCTGGCACTGGGTAGAGGAAGCAGCCAGCCAGGGGCACATCAGGCCTCACAGGCCTCATCAGGCTTCCGGTCTGGCTCCACCACCTCCTGGCTGGTCTCTTAGCCAGCCTGAGCCTCAGTTATCACATCTATAAAATAGGAATCCTGATGCCCAGTGTCGTACCAGTGTCTGGATTCTGCTATGGGAAGGGGGACCCCAACAGCATTTTGGGGACTAGGAAGCAGTAGGTACAGAAAGAGGCATAAGGCTCACCTTGGACCTCTGCAGTCATCCCTGGGATGGAAGAAGGAGGGACGGGCCAGGCCTTGTGACAGGTAGAGAGGACCAGGGACACCCCCCAGGCCCAGCCAAACTTCAAGACTCGACTTCTCCCTAAGGTCCCCTTATGAGCACCAAGCACGTCCTCCAGTTGGATTCTCACAGGAGCTTTGGGAGCTAGATGATTACAAATGCCCACTTTATAGACAAGGAAACTGAGGCTCAAAAGGTCCAGAGACTTGGTGACACTTGCACAAGTAAGAAGTGTAGCTGAGTCCTGGCCAGGTGGCTCAGATGGCTGGAGCATCAGCCCGTGCACTGAAGGGTCACTGGTTTAATTCCCAGTCAGGGCACATACCTGGGTTTCAGGTTCATTCCACGGTCAGGATGCATATGGACGTGTACAGAAGGCAACCGATCAATGGTTCTCTCTCACATCGATGTTTCTCTCGCTCTTATAAACAAAAAAATATATCCTCAGGTGAGGATTTAAAGAAAGCTGTGTAGCTGACTTTGAAGCCAGGCCTGCCTGGGAGCCTCAGCATCTCCTGCTCTTCCTGACCAAACGGAGTGTGGAGTTCAGGGGTCACGGGAGCCAAGGAGTGGGGGTGGGGTGCGGCGAGAGAAAGGTGAATTGAAAGGCATTAGGTTTTCATCTAGTGGAGGAGGAGAGTGAGTTCTGTGGTCAGAGGGCCCTGTGTGAGCAGAGGCAGGAGGGAACCAGCCTGGCCCCAGGTTGGGTTCTTTTCTCTTTTTTTTAATATATTTTTATTGTTTTCAGAGAGAGGAAGGAAGAGGGAGAGAGAGATAGAAACATCAATGATCAGAGTCATTGATCAGCTGCCTCCTGCATGCCCCTGCTGGGGATTAAGTCTGCAACCCTGGCACGTGCCCTGACCAGGAATCGAACTGTAATCTCCTGGATCCTAGATCGACACACAACCGCTGAGCCATGCCGGCTGGTCCAGGGCTGGGTTCTGACAAGGGTTCATCTGTCTGCCATCCACTCAGTGAGGGCAGTTGAGGCCTGAGAGTGGCCACTTCTCCCGAGAGGCCGAGCAGACAGAGCAGAGGGGCTGCGAGCCTGGGTGGGCCCCGCGCCTCACCGAGCCTTTCTCTAAGGTCCACCACATCAATGCCAACTACTTCTTGGACATCACCTCCATGAAGCCTGAGGACATCGAGAACAACGCCTTCAGCTTCTCGTCCACCTTTGAAGACCCGTCCACAGCCACCTACATGCAGTTCCTGAAGGAGGGCCTGCGGCGCGGCCTGCCCCTCCTCCAGCCCTAGTGTGCCTGCCTCATCCGTGCCAGGAGGCTGAGAGGGGAGCTGGAAAGAAAGGCCTCCAGCAGTGATGGACAGGCCGTCGGCCTAGAGCCAGAGTGGTCCTCACACATTTCAAACGTCAGGCATTCCCCCCCCACCATGCCCAGGTTGCCTCTGAGGTGGGAGCTAGCCTATTGCATCTGTTATGGGGGGGTTGACAAGGAGGTGCCTGGGCTGACCGGTGGGTGAACCTCCAGCTCCAGCTGCCACCATCAGCCCTTTACTACCCACCCGGCTCCGGAAGCTGCTTCGGACCTCCCAAACGGAGCCTGGAGTCATTTCCCTAGGCATCACCCTCAGGCACATAGTCCAGGCCCTTGTGGGGTGAAGAACAGGGAGAAGTGGGTGCTCGGAAAACAGGGCCACCCCTTTCACCTTACCTTATCACCCCTTCCCAAAGGAACATCCAGAAGTCCTGGCATGGGGTGGGGATGGGGGTGCCAGAGAAGTGCTTTTGCTTTTGTCCGGAGCTGCCTTCCTGGCCACAGTCCTTGCTGCCCTGTGCCTGGTGTCCCTGTTTGGGTCAGTCTCAGCTGGAGACTTTGGAGGGCAGAACTCTCCTCCAGAGGGGAAACCACACAGTACCCCAGACTTTGGCTCCCAGAGCAGTCTCATCTATCCGACCTATTGATAGGACCCCCAAACCTGTTTTGGGACTTGCTGAAGGCCAGCTGTGTGGGAAGATTTACTGTGAAGTAGGCTGCTGCCCTTAGCAAGGGGGTCCACTGAGGGGTCCCTGAGGCCCAGACCCAAGGCACCCCCCTACCAACCCCAGCACAGGGTCACAGTAGACTACTGGAGCCAGAGCCCTGGTGTTGCCTCCTGCCCCTGACACCTCAGTTCCACAGCAGCGTAACCCAGCCAAAGAACAGGGCCTCCCCCAGAGGCGACTGTCAGGGCCCCCAGACCAGCTTGTCCACCATTGGGTGACTATTGACTCTCTTTGGCCACTCTTAGGACCTTGTTCACATCCCAAGCCACTGACCACGGCCAGTCTCTTTTTTATAGGTGCAGAAAAGTGTTTTTACGTGAACTTTCTCACAGTTTGTAGGTATTTTTGATAACCCCAGCTCTAAGGAGAAGGAAGGGGTAGGCTTCCCCCAGCAGCTGCTCCATGATGGCTGGATCTGAAATCCTGGATGGATCCAGCTTGATGTGTCTGTAGCTGCACCCATGGGAAGAAACATTCCTCTCTTCCTTCTCTTCTAGTTTTTTAAAAACAGCCCTCAGAGGGTCAATACATCCTTACTCTCCACTCAGGCCCATGAGGCCCCTAGGGCTTTCGTTAAGGCCAGGGCGCCAAGCCTGCTCCCTGCCCTCGCCCCGCAGGGCTCACTCTGAAACCTGGAAGAGGAAGGAAGGCGGACGGTTCGTCAGACACCCCCCCAGGCCTTCATCGGCCAAGTTCCCTGGCCTGCCTGCCACTGGAGTAGCCACCCTGAGCCTTCTCTATCTGAGGCACTTTGTTAAGATTACGTCTTTTCTCATTTAATCCTCGAAACAGGCCTGTGAGGCAGCTATTAATCATTCCCATTTTGCAGATGAAGAAACTGTGCCTCAGGGAAATGACTTGCCCAGCGTCACCCAGTGGGAAAGTTGAGATTCAGCCTGAGTCTTGATTCTGGGGTGTTTTGTTTTGCATTGCACCCCTACCTGTCCCCTGCCTGTTTTCACTGAAGTGAAAAAGAAAGACTTTCAACCCAAAATGTCTCATTCCCTTCTGATCTCTAGACCAAATGAGGCATGAGCCAGCAAGCTCAGCCAAGTTCTTTATGTCCTGGGAGGCCTGCTTCCATGCCCTTTACAGGGAGGGAGGGTCCCTAAACCTATCTCTGCTTCCAAGCATGGGTGCAGTAAGGTACTGACTGCTTGGGCTTTCAGCATCCTCATCAGATGCTTCTACCCAATTCCCATGTGCCTCAAAGCTCATGGTGGGGGAGGGCCCCCAGCTGCCCTCTTGTCACACCTCTGCCACTTCCCTCACCTGTCCCCACCATGTCCTGTAATAAAATTGGAGAGATAAGGGTGGTTTGAAGTGCCTTTGAGTGGGATGTTGTTCAGTTTTGTCCTTGATCTGACTTCCCTGTGGGACTGGCTTGCTAGATGGGCAAGGGAACGTGGCTGGAATGCCTTTGGGGACTATCTTCTCTGTCACAAGAGGGCTTGAGTGACTTTCTTAAAATAATTTTGTGAGGGACCTATATTTAGGATCTGATGCTGTGTTAATAAAGTCAAACCCATTGTCTTAGAAGCACAGCTTGAGACAGGCATTAGGTAAATTTTTTTTTTTTTTTTTTTTTTTTGAGGGAGTGGACTTCAGGAAAAACCTATAAAAAGTGAAGCAAAAGGGGAAAGGAAAAATGCTGAGCAGGGATAGCGTCAAAGCCTGGCCTTGGCCTGATCACAGGAAAGGAGCTCTGGAGCATAAACCACATCACAAAGTTGAACCAGCCTTTTGTAACCTGTATCAGTCAGTCATTGGCTAGCGGGGTGGAGTAGCTTCCCAGGATAGGGCCTCCACACTCCCTTCTGCAAGGACAGTTTTCCAGAAAAGGGGGCAGCTGTAAGTCAACAGCAGCTGGAGGATGGATTCACTGGCAGAGTAAAGGGGACCTGGGTGGGGCACCAAGACAGCATCTACCATGTCCAGGAAAGACAGCTAGGGTGGATTTGCAAGATCTGCATTACCCAGGACAGTGAAATCAATGATTAAACAGTTTGCTGTCCTGGAAAAAGGGCTGGACCTGGAAGTCAACATCATTTGAAATGTGGTGGTGCTTGGGGACAACCTCTGAGGTCTCTGGCCAAGACCGGCTAACAATTTGCAGAGTCCAGTGCAAAATGAAAATGCAGGGCCCCTTGTTTAAATATATATATATATATGAATTTCAAGAGGACAACAGCAGAACATTAAAACAAGTACGGAGTCCTGACCTGAGGCCCTGTGTGACTGGCCTGTGCCCAGCAGCTGGAACTTGCAGGATTTGAGACCAAAAAGCTGCAACCTGGGTGCCAGGCCCAGCCGGTGCTGAGGTCAGCGGGATGCATGTGATCCAGGCCTGGATGCCGAGGAGACCAGGACTGGGTTGGGTGAGTGGGCCTGGAAAGAATGTGGGAATGTGGGTGGTTCTCTTTCCAGTGCCTCTGGAATCTACCCTACCCAAGTCACTGAAAATAGAGTGTGTGTGTGTGTGTGTGTGTGTGTGTGTAACACATATCGGCTAAAGCGGGAGAAAGCTACAAAGCGCTGGAGGGCAGGAGTCAGAGAGGCCCGTTCTTGCTGGAGAGAAGGTTGCAGAGGGTCGTGGCTGGTGAGTATGAGCTGTGAAGGGGGTCAGGGCGATAAGGAAGGCAAGCTCTGCGGCCGAAGGACCTGAAATGTCGGGGCGGGGACAGTAGACAGTTTTGGGGCCGAGCAGCGACTTAGTCAGACCTCCGATTCCAAAGGTCCTTCGGCACTGAGAGCAACAAAGAGACAGAGACCAGAGAGGGGTTTGCGACCAGTCAGCTCTCAGGCCTCTGGAAGCCGGGTCCATTTCCCCGCAGGGCTCGGACAGGAGGGGGTGTGGTCTCGGGGATGGGCGTGGCCCCCCTCGGAGTGCTCACGTGAGACCGCTCCCCGCCCCGCCCAAGCAGAAGCCGCGCTCGCGGGGCCGCTTTCTGACGGCTCGCGGGGGCGCGGCTCCGTGCGCAGCCGCAGAGGATCGCTTCCGGAGGCGGGCCAGCGGAAGTGAGGGCGGTTGAGGCTGGGCGGCCCGCTGTAGTAGGAGGGGCCGTGAGGTGAGTGAGCCCAGGAGCCCGAGACTGAGGTGAGAGACTAGGTCCGAGTGCCGCCCGGGAGGAGGGAGCGCGGCCTAGTGCCTGGCGCTGTGCGGGGTTCGCGGCTCCTGTTGCCGCGCCAGTTCTCGCGGGAGCCGGTCGCTGTCGGCCTCCTTTGGCAAGGGGGGAAACTGAGTCCGCAAGGAGTAACTGCTCAGCCGAGTCACCCAGCTTCGGTGGCCGAGCTACACGGAGGCTTCTCGTTTCGGCCGCGGTCCTCGGCCGGCCGCGCCGCCTCTGCCACCTCCTCGCTCCTTTGGGGCCTGTCCCCGGGCCTGTGGGTCCAGGGATCGCCGGGCCGGCGGCGAGAACTTGGCCGACCTTGGCCCTGTCGGGTCGGGCTGTTGCGGGGGAGGGGAGGCGTGGCCCGGGCAAGGTCCCCGCAGCGGCTCCGGGCGCCGCTGTCCGCTTAGCGAAGTTCCGCTAAGCGCGGCGGTCTCCGTGGGGCGCCCGGGACCCAGCGGTGATGAGACCAGGCCCCGCGCTGCCCGTCTCCCGCGGGAGACCTTGTGTGAACGTGACAGCGGCCTCGAGAGGGGCTGTGCGAGCGCAGGGTGGTAAGAACCAACCAGCGCTGCGGGGGAACGGGGACGACGTTCTTCTAGCCAGTGACACTGTGAAGGGGGGGGAGGGCGTGAAGGCTCAGGCGGGGCTCGTTCCTTCCTTAATTGAAAAAATGTTTACGTGTGTACTGGGGCCCGGGCAGGACTGTGCTGTGCCTGGGGAAGTCCCTGCCCTTGGGACAAGTGGCGAACTATGGAGGAAATACAGGATGCTGTGGGCTGAACAGTAAAGGACCTGACTGTCAGGGAGGGGGAAGTGATGCTTGAGCGGAGCTCGGAAGAATTATTATTGAGAATGAGCTTTGGGTGGCACCAGCTGGGCTTTTACATCTCGTCTTCAAGAATGAGTGCAGGGCTTGGTGATACCTATAGTTTGCCTTTCCCATGAACTTTTTAAACTACCAAGAGGTTCTAGTTCATCTTTAGAAGTTTTGCCTCTGGAACCCAAGGGCCCAGGTGGGCTCCCAGGGTTGTCTGAGCTCCTGCAACAGGTCTGGAACAGAACCTTTAAGGGTCTGGATTTGGAAGAGCCATTGGTGGGTGAGGGCAGCCTCTTGGGCTGGTTTTCTCCCCTGTGAAATGTAAGAGAAGCCTTGGTTAGTCCCTGCTCTGCAGGGCCTGGTTTTGTGGAGCTTGTGTGGTAGTCCAATGAGTCCCCACTCTGAGGGTGGTTTCACAGGAAGGGAACGCTGGTGTTTCGTAAGATGGCCTGATATGAAGGAATCAAGCCTCCCGCCTCCCCAAGCTGCCTTGTCCTTCAAGTGCAGAAGCCAGTTGAAATGTCAGGAATGGAAGCCAATGTGGTAAGGGGCACTCCCAGGGTAATGGTGTGGTGGGGAAGGCCGGGCACGGGCCTGCTGAAATGGAGACTCTCCAGGTAATCCTTCCTTTCCCTTGGAGGTCTGGAACTGGAGGGAGGCTATCCTTCCACTCACTCCCCCAGGCAGAACCAACTATGATCTGGGGGCAGTTAAAGAGTTCATGTGTTTCTGCCTTTCTGTGCAGAGGGAAGGGAGGGAAGCCTGGATGATCCCCAACCCAGCTAATTCCTCAGCCCTTTACTGGACCCTCCCAACATTGACTGTGCCTTGGCAGCAGCAGGTATCCCTTAACTGGCTTGCCAAGGCGAAGGCTAACAATTGGAAAACCTGCCCTTGACTTATAACTAAGACTGGACTTACACCCCCAGGGTGCCCTGTCCCTGGGATTGAGGAATCCAGTCTCCCTGGTTAAGGGGAGTTGGGGAGAGGACAGGGACAATGCTTGAACTCATCTCTGAGGTTGCGGCTGTCCCTCTTTCTGCTCTAGACCATCCCAATCTGGCAAAACAAACCACATGGGGCTGCTCGCAGTGTAGTGAGAAGAATTGGGACCAACCTGCCCCTGAAGCCATGTCCTCGAGCATCCTTTGAGGTGAGTGCACTGGAAAGTCAGGGAGAATAGAGGCTCAGAGAGTATGGAAGGATGATGCTGCTCTGTGCCCCAGACTCCTGGTCTTTTTTCTTTTTTTTTCCAATTTGTAAGTGCTTGTTAAGGGATCCTGGTCACTGTGCCTTCCTGATTGCACATAGACCTATGACCACAACAGCCAGGTTTCCAATTTGCACATAAATTCATAATTTTACATGTTTGATACCTCTGCTAAGTGACTCAGATTTCATCAGACTCTAGCAGCTCAGTTTCTCAGAGCGGGCCAAAGGCCCTTACTGAGCCACATCACCAGACTAGCCATGTCTGTGCTCTGAGGTGTTTGCCTACAACGCTGGCAGATCCCCACGTGGGACATTGGAGTGCTGTGTGTGACTCAGACTTGAACTCTGCTTTTCTTTACTAGCGCTAAGACTTGGCCACTTAGCCACCTATTTTTAGTTTCCCTGAGGCCCAGCCTCTTTCTGGGCAAGTCTGGCCATTCCTTTACTGGGCTACTTCAGTCTTACCTCTGTGTCTATGGGGCCTTTAGCACCCACTGGGCAGTAGAGCTTCTTGCGTAGCCAATGTCTCTGAGACCCCTTTCTGCAATGGAAAACCAAGTAGCATTTATTAGTCCCAGCTGCCTCCCTCTAAGAACTAATGGTTAAGTACAGCTTCAGGCTACATGCTTAAGGTGTGTGTGTCTGGGGAGCTGAGACACAAAAGAAACACTTCCAACTTTCTGCCTACACAGAGGAGGCAGAAATATATGCCCGAAAAGATATGGGCCCAGGTGGCTACAGAAATGAAGGAGATGGCCATAGTCAGTTTGGCTCAGTAATTCTGCCCAAGGGCACATATCTCGGTTGCAGGCTCAATCCCTGGCCTTGATCAGGGCGTGTGTGGGAGGCAACCAATAGATGTGTCTCTCTCTCACATCGATGTTTCTCTCTCTCCCTTCCACTCTCTGAAAAGCAATGGAAGAATTAAAAAAAAAAAAAAAAGGAGATGAATATTAGATGTTAGCCTGTGAAGTCTGTCCGGAGTCAGAAGTGGTGTCGGGGTTGGTATTGAGAATCAGGAATGGGGTTGGAAGGTTGTATGCATTGGGGGGTAAAGGGAGAGCTGTCTCATGACCCAAATTATCCAGAATTGCCTAAAGGGCACGAGTGGGGTGTGGCCCTAACTGTCTCAAGCATCAGAAACGAGGGAAGCACAGCTAGGAGTATAGGGGACTCAGTAGAGGTTGCTCTGACACTTGGTTATAATCTCTCCAGTTCTTTGGCCAGATGTTGCTGGGCAGAGCTAATCAGGGGCACAGGTTCCCACATAGGAGTATGTGTGAATAGTACAGGCATACCTCAGAGATGTTGCAGGTTTAGTTCCAGACCACCACAAAAAAGCAAGTATCACAATAAAGCAGGTTGTAATCCTTTTTACTCATGGAGGGTCTTGCCTTCAATTTGTAAAAATATATCTGTGAAGCACAATAAAGCAAGGTATGCCTGTATCAGTAATACCAGCTAACATTTACCGAGCACATACTATATGCTAGGTGCTGTGCTGAGTACTTTGTTGACTCATTTTATTGCCAATAGCAGAGTGCTTTAACTAATCCAGGAAAGCTTCCCTAAATGGTCCACCTTAGCAGCAGCTCCTGGGTCAGTGAAAGATCACTTCACTCCTGTGAGACCCAGGTTCCCTATCTAAAAGCAAAAGCCATCAATTCCTGAGCCACCAACCAAACAATTGGTAGCAGGAACAACTGAATTTAACCCATGTATAGGTCGATTTTTGAGAAATTATCCCTGAATTTCTGTTGTAAATTACCTTGAATATTATTTAAGGAAATCTTGATTTATTTTTTAAATTTACCTATATAAAAATATTGAATTATGGGAAATAAAGAGAAAAGAACCTGGCCGGGGTGGCTCAGTTGGTTGGAGCATCGTCTGGTATACCAAAAAGGTTGTGGGTTCAGTCCCCAGTCGGGGTGCCTATGGGAGGCAACTCTCTCCCTCTCTTCCCCCCCTAAAATCAGTCAACATATCCTTGGGTGAGGATTAAGGAAAAAAGAAGGAAAATTACCTATAATCACATAGTCATGACACAGTAACTATTGTTGTTCTGGTGTAGTTCTTTTTCTAGATGTATTTTTTTTGTATTCACACTCAACATGATTGAATCCTCCTAATTTTTCATTTAATTTTAACATAGTGTCAGCCTCTCTGTTCCCTGGTTGTTCATTTGGGTTGAAGGGCTATTTTAAGGAATCCTACTATATTCCTTTTGTATAATTAATCATGTCTTTTTATTCAAGTCTGAATATTCAGATTATCAAGTTGGTTTAAAACAATGTTGCTGTTAATAATGTAAATCCCAATTCACTACAGAGGTGTGGTAAAGAGCTAGCCAGAGGAAACTTCCTGTTGGTGTAACAGATTGATATCCTTGCACCTGTATTCTCACAACCAGAGGGCAAGACACTCCTAAGACAGTAACCATCTCTGTTAAAAGGTAACTCTGGTTGGTCCCACTGAAAACCCCTTTTTCTTTAAAAGGCCAGATAATAAACATTTAGGCTGTGGGCTGTAACAGTGTTACTACTTACTTTTGCAGTTATAGCTTAAAAACCACCACAGACAACACATAAACAAATTGGTGGGCCCTTGCTGGTGTGACTCAGTTGGTTGAGTGTTGTCCCAAGCACCAAGAGGTCGCTGGTGGGATTCCCATCGGGGCACATACCCAGATTTCAGGCTTAATCCCCGGTAGGGGGCTTGCAGGAGGCAGCCAATCGATGTTTCTCTCTCATTGATGTTTCCTTCTCCCTTCTCATCTCTAAAATAGATAAAAGACATATTCATAAAAAAAACACACAAATTGGTGGGATTGTTTTTCAAATAAAACTTTATTAAAACAGGGCCCATCCCTCCTCTAGGCCACCCTGTTTTGCTTGAAAGATACAACAGTCTCATAACTGGGCTGTTCACCCTCCTATCTGTGTTCCACACAGCAGTAGAGTAATCTTTTAAAACCTAAAGTCTAGCCTGGCCAGCATGGCTCAGCGGTTGAGCATCAACCTAGGATCCAGGAGATGGCAGTAGGATCCAGGAGTTGGCAGTGGATGGCACATGCCCAGGTTGCAAGCCTGATCCCCCCAGTAGGTGGCATGCGGGAGGCAGCCGATCAGTGACTCGTCATTGATGTGTCTATCTCTCCCTCTCCCTTCCTCTCTGAAATCAATAGACATATTTTTAAAAATTTAAAAACAATAAATAATAAAACCTAAAGTCTAATTCTTACTTAAAATCTTCCAGTAGCTTATTATTGGTCTTTGAGTCAAAGCTCCTAATTCACTTTCCAATCTCTTGCAACCCCCTCACCCCCATCCTCTGTTTGAGCCATGCTGAACTATTTGTAATCCCACAAACTCTCGCTTCTGGCCTCTTATTCAAGCTGTCTCCAACCTGGAACCCAACCTTCTCCTCTAGGAAGCCTTCCTGACACCCAGTACTGGATTAGATGCCCCTCCTCTGTATTTTGTGCAGTCTGGTTGTTTCATCATATGTTTGCTGATGAATTTTGCTTCCATATAGACCCTGCCCAACATCTCTGATCTGTGTCTGAGGGATGTGCCCCCAGTCCCTACTCTGGCTGACATCGCCTGGATTGCTGCAGATGAAGAGGAGACATATGCCCGGGTCAGGTAGCTGAGGCAGTAGCCGGTCTGCTGGGGAATGGGGCACTTCTTCCCAGGTGAAGTGGCAGGCAGCAGGGGGAGTGCCTGTGAGAGGCTGAGCGCAATAGGAATGAGATCTCTGTCTCAGAATGGAAGCAAAGCCTGGCTGTTAATCTTGTAGGGATTTTAGAAGGGGTGAGTAGCCAGCTGACTCTAATATACCTGTCTTTCCCCGGTCCAGGAGTGATACACGCCCCCTGAGGCACACCTGGAAGCCCAGCCCTCTGATTGTCATGCAGCGAAATGCCTCAGTGCCCAACCTGCGTGGGTCCGAGGAGAGGCTCCTGGCCTTGAAGAAGCCAGCCCTGCCAGCCCTGAGCCGTACCACAGAGCTGCAGGATGAGCTGAGCCACCTGCGCAGCCAGATTGCTAAGATAGTGGCAGCTGATACAGGTAGGAGCCTCTGAGTCAGAGCCAGAATATAGCAGGCTGTTCCTTCCCCCTGGCTTTTGGACAGGATAGTGGTAAAGAAAATGATGATCCCTGGTTCAAGGGGACTTGGGCCCAGGACTCTGGGGCTGCTCTGAGGCCTGGCTAGCCTGAAGTACTTCTTGGATGGCTTGTCAGTTATTTTGAGCTGACTGGTTTGGTCAGGAACAAGAGCTTCACTTAACCTGTGACCCCAAGCAGGTTCTCTCCCTTGGCCACAAAACCAACACCCTCTGCCAAGTGTCTCTAAGAACATGTCTTCCATGAGCCCTCAGCAGTTTTTCCTTTTCAACCTAAGAAATAAACATTCCCTTTAAACACCTGTCTCCGCTCCTTGTCCTGTCTACCAGGGACCACCTCTCCACCCCTCCACCTTTCTGTGTGCAGTTAAGGCAGAACACCGGGAAAGGCTGGGAGTCTGCCTTCACCAGTAGCACAAAATACCATCAGGTGGATCTCTCCAAGCTCGTTTATTTATCCTCATATTCCTCCCGTCCACATTTTTGCTCCTAGTTGAGCTCAGTCAGTTCCCAAACCTTATCAGTTGGTAGAACACATGAAAATTATGCTCTTTGAAATCTTCATGTATTTAATTCCCTTGTATGACAGTTTTATAAAGGAACTGCATTTATTGGCTACTTTTTTGTCATCTAAGAGACAGGCTAAAGTAGTTTATGAAAAACTAGAGTGCTTCTTAGAAACTTAGTAATTGAGGAAGTTCATTAAAATTTGGGAAAGTAGGACCATCGCCATTGCTTTTGCTGCAGGATGCTTCTTCCAGTCAGACAGCATTCAAAGGAGGGTCGTCAAGAGCACGAGCTCAGTTAGAGAAAAGGACAGATTCTGGCCTTGTTTCCGTCTGCACAGGGCTGCTGTTCCAGAGCTCACTGCAGAATGAGAGCTTTTAGGAGCCAAGGCCTTTATGGGTGGGGTGGGAAGTGTTCTGCCCCCCTGGACCGCAGTGCTTCTGCATCTTCTTGAGGTCCTGAGGGAAGGAAGGGTAGTGGAAAAACCTTCCACTGGCTTAGATACCACCCTGGGCTTTCGGGATGTCATGGTGTCAGACCAGTGAGAGAATGTTGGTAGGCAGTGCTTGTGAGAAGATATTACTGCTGTATTCTGGCCCCAATGTCCATCCATGCCTATTGTTTTCTCTTTCAGCTTCGGCTTCATTAACGCCAGATTTCTTATCTCCAGGAAGTTCAAATGTCTCTTCTCCCTTACCTTGTTTTGGATCCTCATTCCACTCTACAACTTCCTTTGTCATTAGTGACATCACCGAGGAGACCGAGGTAGAGGTCCCCGAGCTTCCATCAGTCCCCCTGCTTTGTTCTGCCAGCCCTGAATGTTGCAAACCAGAACACAAAGCTACCTGCAGCTCGTCTGAAGAAGATGACTGCGTCTCTCTGTCCAAGGCCAGCAGCTTTGCAGATATGATGGGGATCCTGAAGGACTTTCACCGGATGAAACAGAGCCAAGATCTGTAAGTATATGATAAGGAGCTCTGGTGGTCTAGTTACTATTTAAGTCACCTGTGGCCAGTGATCTACTAGAGGTACTTACATAGCAAGTCCTCAGTAATAGCCATGTGTTCACTTTATTCACAAACCTTGCTACCTGCTTGCTAATTACTGGGGCCCCAGTTTGAGGAAAGAACATTTTACATTTGGTTGGAGTGATCTAACTCAACCGTTAAGAGTGGTAGGGTCCGGCCGGGCATGGCTCAGCGGTTGAGCATCAACCTAGGATCCAGGCGATCTGGGTTTGATTCCCAGTCAGGGCACATGCCCTGGTTGCGGGCTCGATGCCCAGTCTAGGGCATGCAGGAGGCAGCCGATCAGTGACTCTCTCATCATTGATGTTTCTCTCTCTCTCT